AAAGTTTGCTCCCTCATTTTCAAAAAGGACTTGAAGCTGAGCCGATAGGTCCGTAGAGAGTAGGGGATGCCATCTTTGCTCATTGCTAGAATCTTACTTATTGGACAAATGAGCAAATATGTAACTGACAGGTTTATGACATGTGTACTTTAGCTGCAGACAAACATACACTAGATTAAAAGTCCATGGGGACATGAGTCTCCTGGTCAAAGTTCTAAACTGGTTTTGTTTTGTTTTTTAGGCAGATGAACTGCTCTAGAGGGAGGTGCAACAGAGAATAAGTTCATTTCCAACAATTCTGGGATTTTCCTTGGCTCTTTAGAGCTTCACTCACTGTTCATCTGTTTGTCAAGATTCTAGAATGAACGATAAATTTGAAAAATGTTCCATTGTATTATCAAATGAATACCAATCCAGCGGCAGAGTTGTAAATGCTCATTTGTTTTGACTTTTCTTTCATCAGACTGAAAGACTTTTGGTTTCTGGGGAAGGATTTAACAGCCACATTCAGTTAGGTCTTTCTAGCAAACAGAGCTGAACATGGATAGAATCACCTATAGACAAGGCACTGTGCGATCCTTCAAATAACTGTCTCTAAAATGACTGCTGTGTTGTGCTTCACCCAATCATGATTCACCCCTAAACTTTAAATAAAACAAAGTGAAACACACACACACACACGCACATACAACTCAGTTGACTCTAACTGCTGTAGGAGAGAGGAGAAAGTGTCTATAGGAAAGTGGTAGGGGAGACAGAACTAATATGGTGGAAAATGAATGAAGAAGGCAAATCAATGGAGATAAATGGCACCAAGAATGGAGCCAGGAGACACAGGAAGCAAGTACACCATGCAGGGGTCTGGGATGGAGAAAATGGAGTGGGGGTGAGGTGTTAAGGAAAGGCGCCTGGGCTGTGCTCCTATGCCAAGTGGCACCAGTCTTTGGAAAGGCAGAACTGCTCAAATCGGATGCCAGCCTTGACGCTGTGGAACACCACTGCCTAACAGCTTGTCACTCAGGAAGCATTGCGACTTCCCTATTTGCAGTCCTCAATAAGGCAACCTCACAGGATGGCACGGTGGACTAAAATCAGATTTGAACATTCCACTTAACACGTAGCATGTAGACTGTCATAACATTTTCAGTGTCTTTTTGACATTGTCATCTAATGTGCTATTTTGCTCAGTCTCTTGAAGTTGTTCTTTAAAAATGCTCTAAGTAAATAAACCACCATCATTTGAGTAAACTCTAGTGAAGACTTAGTAAAAAGATGTTTCAAGGAAAGGCTGCGATACAATTCAAGCTGCTCACAGCCCTGAGCGCCCTGAGCAAACAGCCTGGATCCCCCTGTCTCCACTCATCACCTAGGGGCCAGGGTTCTGCTGCAAAGCTCACAGCTCTCCCATGAGAACCAGCTTCATACACATGGCTCAAACCACTCTCTTAAGAGGAATTTTGGCTTGAGCCTTATGCCCTCTGACCCATATCTATATATAATTTTTTTTTTCCCTTTTTCTTTCAGTTTGGAACTCTGACCTTGATAAATGACTGGACTCACTGTCCAGAAAAACAGGAAGGTTACTCACCAGGAAGCCATGGAAACACGGCATAAAAAGTGGGTCAACTTTCTCCACCAGCCAAGCTACATCTCAGATGTGATCAAGAGTGGCACCATGGTGATGCACCCCCACCCCCCAGTCCCCCCCAAATGCATTCTACACCAGCAGGTCCTGACACAGTGACTGCTAGTGACCCACCATGGCTTACAATGTAGAAAGGTTCTTTGGAAGAAACTCAACTCTTCCCCTCTCTATATGTGTGTGTTTGACCTACAGAGTTCTACAGTTCAGTGGCTGCCAACATTCAAAGAAATCAGGATGCGGCACATAAAATCTGTGGTCTGGTAATGTGGGTCTATTTGTGCGTGGCAGTAAGGAGGTGGCACTGAATATCAGTGGCTGCCATCTTTAAACCCTTTCATGGCTCATGGGACATAGAGTGCCCACCTATTTTCTATATCTGGTGTCTAGTGGGAAGTAGCTACTCCACTTGAAGTGTGTACTGTCATCTGGTAGGACCCTGTGTAACTGCATGAACCTGAAGTAATGGGTCTCACCGCACCAACCCTAGCACCACAGACTCGTTGGGACACATATGTGTCCTGCTGTTAGTATCAAGGACTCCTGGTGTGGTGCTGTAGGATAAGTACTGGACTACGAACCACAAGGTCAGTGGTTCAAACCCACCAGTTGCTCCTCAGAAACCCTACAGAGGATCACTATGAATCAAAACCGACTTATGGTTCTGTAGGATAAGCACTTGATTGCTGACCACCAGGTTGGCGGTTCAAACCCACCAGTCACTACGTGGAAACCCTATACAAGGTCGCTATGAGTCAGAACTGACTCCACGAACTTAACAACATGAGATGGAACCAACTCAACAGCACTTAGCAACCGTATCACCACAATTTTTTTCATTTCATCCAAACTGACTTCCATTACTGAAAACACTATTTCAACAAAATATTTAAAGCAGAAAATGATTTGGTCTTGGAAGGGTTAAACAGGATTTGGGCCAATAGGTCAGCAGTTCAAGCTCACCAGCTTCTTCTTAGAAATCCTATACAAGGTCATTATGGGTCAGAACCGATTGGACATCACTTAAGCAAAACAACAACAATTTGGTCTTATTTAACCCTTTCAAGACCAAATTATTTTTTGCTTTGACTTTTTTCATTTACCCAAAAGACTCCTGGTGTGGCACTACAGGGTCAGTACTGAACTGCTAACTGCAAGACCTGAGGTTCAAAGGCACCAGCTGCTCATCAGAAGCCCTATACAGGATTGCTATGAGTTGGAACTGACTCGACGGCTCTTAACAGGTTCACCCGAGTCCTCATCTGGTCCCTACTGTCTTGTCAACCCCAAGGTCTGCTGCCAGTGGTCATTCAAGATTACAACTTCCTCCCGAAACCTATTTGCCACTAGCATCTAGATAATAAAATAATTTGAACAAGTTCATGTTTTACATTCTTTGGACTGCATTCTGACTGGACATGACCTACATGTTTCTGCAGGTCAGAATTTGACTTGGGAGAAAGAAAACAAGGCCATTAGCATCCCATTAGTGCAATCTTTTCCCTAACAGTTCTGTATCTACGTGACCATATTGGTGAGCATGGATGGGTATTTCTCTAGAGTGCATAAATGCCAAGCAACCCTAATTAGTCTGAAGGAGAGAGAGATGCAAAAAGGAGCTAAAAAGACACATAGACTGATCATAGACCACCAAGCCGCTTCTAGAGACCCTTCAGTCAGTCAAAAATGCCAATCGTTAGAGAAGTAGGAAAAACTAAGAGTTGTGGCATAGGCCACAAGGTAGGTGCTTAGAGAAAACCATGCTCATCAAGAGCTGAGGTGTTCAAAGAGTAAGGAGAGAAAAATAAGATGGAAGGAGGAGAGAGGCAGCAAGAAGGCACAGGACTCCAGGACCGGGGTCCATGACTAACTAAGTCCAAATGGGAAGCTTGAGACTAAGGAAGATCTCTTCTACAGACCAAGTGCCCACATCCTAGAGGATCTCAAACACAAAAGAATATTTGCTTAGGATGACCTCTCAGAGCAGAATTAGGAAACTCTGGCTTTCTGCAGGACATGAAAAAGTGTTACTGGGAGTGCTAATTGCACCTCCGCCCCACAAGAGAGGGTTCTTGCCTTCTACTGATTAGGAATGGTTAGGAGAGGCAGAGTTCCCTTGTGAGAAAGGTTTAGTCTCAGAAAGAGGCTTGCAAGCTGAGATGGGGAGGGCTTAATGCAACCCCACCTCCCTAAACAAAGGCTTTTGAAAAGTTTTAGGTGGGTAAAAGGCATCATTTTTATTCATAGGGATGCGAGGGGGGTTCCAGGAAATGGCCTGCGTAGAAGGGCCCACGCTAATCGGGTGCGTCTGCAGCATTTCTTCAAGACGGATTCCACTGCAAAGGCCTCTGGTAGGGGTAGTCAAAACTTATTCTGGGATGCCATGAATGTGTAGTTCTTCAAAACTTCGTTTGTCTCCCCTTCCAGGGGCCGGTGTTCTGTGCCCTCAGGGATGGGCCGTCCTTCAAGGTGGGATAAAACCTGTTAGCCTATAAGACATCTTACAAGGAAGTACAATACAGAAATCTTGTGATTAATGCTTCTACCATCCAAGAGTCCCCCTAGGCTCCCTGTCTCAGGGACTCCTGGAGAGCTCAAGTGGAATTCTGGGGTACACATGAGGGCCTCAGCTGGGCCCATCATAACTGCTCAGAGGGGCTTTTCCAGGGGGCCATGGGATTCTTGGAGTCCTGGTGTGGTGCTGTAGGATAAGCATTGGATTGCAAGGTCGTCAGCTCCAACTCACTAGTTGCTCCTCATCGCTATGAGTCGGAACTAACTTGACGGCACTTAACAACAAGGCACTACAGTTCTTAGAAATCATCTGCCATTGAGAATCCACTCAATGAACATTTACTGAGCACCTACTGCATACGTCCCAGATGCTGGGGATACAGCAGACAACCAAAGAAGTCCCCTGTCCTTGAGACAAAGTCTTTGCTTTCTTGGTGACTCTTTCCAAGAGGCCCCTTAGATTTCCTGTCTTACTAGCTATATTACCTCAAAATTCTAGTGAAAGGTCACACTGATTTTCTCCCCTTCTAAAGAACACAATTCCTTGGTTGTAAGAAGGATGCTGGCTGCACTCAGAACCTTCTCATTCATGTGCAAATGAGTTTCCTTTGCAAAACCAGTCATGTTCACTTCCAATCTTCCATTTTCTCAGTGACAACAGACATGGTACATCAACCATTTGCAAAGACAAATCCCTCAACATTTATGCTCTTCAAAACAAAGACAGATATACCACTGATGTTAGCATGACTTTTCCCCTTCATACAGCGTGACCACAAAGTATGGGCCCTTCCTAAAGTTGTGCTTGATAGAGGTAAGGTAGGAGTTTTGTTGGCATCCTCACCTCAAATTTCTGTCTGAGCTCCACGTTTCCTTCTTCATCCCCTTCTGGAATGGGTACATTGTAGTACTCACCTTCTTCTTGGTTAAGCAATTTGTACCTTGGAAGAGATAGGAGAGAAGAGAGAAACACTCTTAGAGTTTAGAAACTGAAGCAGCTGGTTGTGGAAGGCTGTGGTCTACAGGGCAGCCCTGACTCCATGTTAAGTCTTGACGTTAATTCAGACTCCATTTGAGTTCTTTCTGATTATTAGCCAGCAACTCCATGAAAGCAAGGACACATCGTTTTGCCCTCACGAAGAGTGTGGCTGAAAATGGATTACAACTCCCAGGCAATCCCAGGGAGGGGCAGGTCTGCCCTCAGGTTTTCACAGAGAACTGTGGGATTTGCCTGGGCTCTGGTAGCATTGTTGTTGTTGTTACGTGCCATTGAGTTGGTACCGACTCAGTGACGTTATGCACAGCAGAACGAAA